ACGCTGACTAGCCGCCGCCTGCCAGTTCCTTGACCGCAGTACATCTTCCGTTTGTAGAAAGTCGTTCACAGGTGTCCAAAGAGCTTGATAACTTCGTGTGCCAGTCTACTGCTCGTCCATATATCTTGAGGTGCCTAACCGTGTGTCACTACAGCGCCTTAAAGAGGAGATCAGGAAACAGAATATGCTACAGCTCACAAAAACCCACAGCGGGACAAGGGCGATCCTTCGTGGGTGTGTGCTGATGCTATGCGGCAAAGCTGCTTTTGAAACTGATGCCGTCTGAAGCTTCCTTAAACTGTAAGCACAATATACAAACTAAGAACAGCATTTGAAGATCACTTCAAGACACGTATCGTACCGAGAGAGCTATCGAGCCTGCAAAGTAACAAATAACAAGACCAATCCGGGGAGCACTTCTACATATCGTAGGGCAATACAGCCGCGCTGGGTGACAATCCATGAGGAAGGAGAGCGATCAGCCTTTGGTCATAAAGGTTTTGCATCTTCGAGATGGCGTACGTGAAGTACTCCAAAATTCGATCGTCTGGACCCCTCTCGCCATGAGGCAGAGGATACGGCAAAGGAGTAAAGGAAAGCGTGAGCATTGTTCGCGCGAAGCGTGTTTCGGAAGGGACGGTGTCGATGAGATTGAAGTTGAGCGCCAAGAGGTCAGCCAGCTTGCCCAGATAGAGATTGAGCACGACAGCTGTCAAATGTGGAGAGCAGATTTGTGCAAGCATTTGTAGGACCCAGGAGCGATCCTGCGGTAGTAGGTAGCTTCACCATCCGCCAGCGCGCAAAGACTACCCACCGTGCTGCTCCACAGATGCGTGCATCCCTCAAGTCCGAATTTAGCAAGGACTTTTAGGTGTTAGAAGTGGAGTACGCGACAGCATTATGATGAAAAACGTACGGTAGCTGTTATCTTCGTGAAGCAGCGATATTCCCAGGTGGGTTAGTACAGAACCCATGGCGCGAACATAACCCGGAAACGCAGCGAAGCCGACCGTAGATCCCCACTTGAAGCGTAGCCCTTCCTTAATGACGTTAGGAAATGTGGGAGGCATGGGCCGACGAACCCTGGATGGTTTCACGCCTCGAGCTCCAGGAGCTGGGTCCATTGGGCCGCCAAGTCAAGCTTTGCAGCTCGGAGCCAGGAATAGTCTCCGCCATCTGACGTGGGAAGCGATCCAAATCGGATTCCTCCTCGAGAAGTAGACAGCAACCGTGTAGCTCGAGTCTCGTGACATTGGGCAATGCAGAGAGGAAGAAGACAAAATCCTCGCCACACTGCCAGTGCCGAGCACTAGGCGAGATCTTTGGCTCCGTTACTCGGCTGAACATCACACGCTGCCGCGCTCGTGGTCGCCTGGGGTACAGGAAGTCCAATCTACCCAAACGAACGTGATGTGAGTGAAGCGGGAGAGGTTGGCCCAGGCCGCCATGTCGTAGTTTACCACGTTGCTTGTTAGCGAAGGAAGCCTAATAAGTGTTAAATACCGCACCATCGCCGCAGTTGCAGGGTTCGAGTACCATGCGGCATCAATGGCTCTGAGTCGTTCTCAGCTATAACGGTACTCCGCGTGAAGGTCTTGTTGGCTTGCACGTGTCCAAGACCGGCAAGTCAACGCACACGCTTTGAGTCTTCGCTTGTCTCGAACGAAGCCAATGATGTGATCCAATATCTCCTGCGGGATAGCGTGTATGGTATTCCTGAAGAGCTGCTATGAATTCAACAGAACGCGAGGGCATCGCGGAATGTACGCACCCCGCCATGTTTGCACGAAATAGCGAAGTTAAATTGAAACGGAAAGCGAAAAAAAGGCCGCAGAGATTCAGTTAGTCATACAGGTGAGAAATGAGACCAGCATGACGAACTTGCTTAAGGACAGACGACTTCAACAAAAGAGCGCCCAAAATACTTTTCGACCGAGAAGTCTATCTCGGGATACATCTCTCCAAAAAAAAAAGCCGTGAACATATTTCGCCCCAAAGACTTCTCGAAAAATAGCGAAAACGTCGAAACTTAGAAGACCAGTCGATGGTGTCCTTTTTGGAATATTGTCGCCCTTTCTCTGGAAGATTGAGTGCACATCTCGACGCCGCGAAAGCGTAACGTAGCAAGCTGCTTAATGACGAATCGAAGCTTAGCTCTGGTTCGCTTTGTCTCGTGAGCTGTTTACGGTTTACGACATACAGTACCTACGCTCCATGCCATCTAACTGTACGCGTCAGTTGTTAAGTTGCTAGTGTCCTGACGGTGTACAGCTAAATCAATCGATTTCGATCCCAATCTCGTACGTTTACAGTCTACTTGTTACATATCTTCTAGGTCGACCATCTATTCAGAGCGCGGCAAGGACGGCTTCAGCGCCAGAGACAGTGACTTGAGTCGGGTCCGGCTCGACCTGTGCATTGATGGTCAGACAATCGATTCTGCGAGGTGGCGAAAGATAGTACGTACGCCGAGGTATGTGACCTTGAGGTCGTCCAGGCAGAGCGCGTAGCGAGTGGTACGCGTGCCGAGGCCGATGCCAGCGGCACTAAGGTCCACGGTCAGGCCAAGCTCCTTTGACCAGGCACCTTCAATGTCCGTGAGGCCGACGATCTGGACTCGCCATCAGTACAGTGCCGTTCCAATGCAGCACTGTTTACGCACCTTGTCAGCAACACCCTGAATACGGGTCCAGCCGCTGAGCACGAAGGGATCGTTGGCTGACAAGACGTAGACGTCGTCGACGCCTTTGGATTTGAGCTCATTGTACTTCTCCGCAAACGGCGGCAGGTGGTTCGCATGGCACGATGGCTGTAGCAAACATCAGAGGGGAAGCGAAGACGCATCGGCGCTAATCACCCACCGTGAAGGCTCCCGGAACGGCAAAGATAACGACCTTCTTGCCCTTGAAGATGTCCGTGGTCACCTTGGAGGCTGGGCACGCTCGATATCAGTATCCATCGTCGTTCTGTGTGGGGGTACTACATACGGGCACCGCAAGCGGCGTGCGAATCGAGCTCGGGCGTGTAGTACACGGTCGCGAACTTGCCAGTGG